GGAGCCGGTGGGATCCTCCCGCCCATACGACCGCAGCGCCGCCGCGTACATCCGGGACCTTTCCCTGTCGGCGCCTGATCCCACTACTCCTTTCCACTATGCGCCACCTTTTCCACCGCTTGGTGGCGGGTATGTCGACGGGTCATTTCTTGTTTCCGTACTTTATGAACTGCATTCGTTTCTTTTTTTATCTAAAATACTGAACAAAAACTACTTTTATAAATAATTGAAACGGTTCGCGACTCTTATATTTTGTAAGCTTTTAGCGGCTCTGACCAGTAGTAAGCCCAGGACCAAAGACGCCACATTTTGCGCGCTTTCGGTACCGCGGGTCGCCCTCGTCGGTGGAGGAGGTTTTCGCGTCGTCCGGTTAAAATATGACGCACTGATATTTAGTTACTCTCTCCGTGCCCGCTGACTTGCCCGAACCCTAAGAGACGTGGAAATCGCAAAAAAGGTAGACGCTTAAATATGATTGCAGGGCCCCTGTCCAGGGCGGTCGCATTCATTCCTAATCGTCTTAACGCAGATATTTATCCAATGCTCAAACTCTTTGACAAATTTTGATAACTCATCTTGTAGAGTTCGACCAATGGAAGAGACGTCTCGATCAACTCGGTGGAATTTTCCGTCGCAGCCACTGGAGTCGCTCCAGTACGCTGTGCATCAGAGCCTTTTATATTGAGAGAGGTTGGCCTTCTTAAGGAGATTTTGACAGCCTGGCAACCACAGCAGCGTAGACTGACAACCGGGGGATGACTACTTTCGTCCGCCATTTTGGGGCTCTGACTCATAGGAGCTCTATGCCATTTCTCAGAAATAAACGAGACAAAGAAGTAACGCCATTTTGTGTTATCGCGAAATCCACTGGTTCTAGCGGGCAACAAGCTCCGCCCATCGGCCGAACTCTCTCAGTATAAACGGCTCTAGTGTGCACAAACCAATCCGCACATTTATTTTAGACACCTTGTGAACCTTACAAAAAAGAAAATGAAACACAGACTCGTTTAAGTTTGTATAATTTTATTGAAATGCTTCAGTTGCTTTTTGCAAACTGACCAAACGAGCATCGTGCAAAAACACAGCTAAACATTTGGCGGTCAGACAACAACTGCTTATGCAGTTACGAGCGTGTACATGCGAAGCGAGCGCACGAATGCAAGTATTTACAGAGACGACGAACTTTGATGACAATCATTACGACTCAGCAGAGACAATGCGGAGACTCACAACACTGCTAGACGGGCACACATTCACACGTCATTAACATTACGTTTACAAATACACACATTAACACTTATCACGAAAAGAAACAAAAAATTGTGATATCCTTCCATACATTTCAGTTACTTTGGCACACAGATGCAACCGCGATGTTGCGCAGCATAAAATAGGCTAAGTCCCAATATTATCATAAACACCCGGGGCTGTACTGTGCAGCGACGCCACACTTGAATCACCGATCATCCGCCCGCTCTTAATAGGGTTAACCAATGCGAATGAGGGTTATAACATTCCCTCGTTCATCATCAGTAGCCAAAAAAACAAAAAAAACCAAAAACATCCGACGTTTCTTCCACTGGAGATGCATTATCATTAGACCAGGATAGGGATCGCACTTCTCATTGGTTTGACTGGTTAAAATGAGACCAGGTATCGGTGTTCTAAGAGCGTGACGGTGCAGCGTAAACTCAGCTACTTTCGAGATTCGCCATAAATGACGACGTATATTCCGACATGTAAGCTACTCATTAAAAGCAATCAAATTACTTGTAGTACTTTTTGGAGTACTTTTAAAATTACATTTCAGAAAGTAACCATAAGAGCCGTTTGATTACTTTTGAAAGTAGTCAAATTACTCGTAACCGTTGCTTTGTACCTCCCCATTCTAATGGAGACTTTTGTTTCTACAAGTTTCTAAAAAAATGAATGCTCGAACCAAGTCTACGAGAGAAGGACGGTGTGTCAAAATTTTAGAATTAAGTTTATAAGTAGCTTACAATCGGGTGATCTTAATTAAATATTCAATGATGGACAGTATGAAAGACCACTTTTCAAATGGCAGAAAATAGGTCGTTCTAAAAATCTACAGTAATTGGAAAAGGAACGGTCACTTTCCAAGTGAGAGCAAATTTCTTTTCTTGTCAAGTAATCGAGTAATCTAATACTTTTTAACAACGAGTAATTGTAATTGCAATCCATTAATTTTGTGCGTCACGTGTGCAAGACTGTAGCTATTCGAGTAGCTAGGCATCGCCAAATGAATTTGGCCCTAAGAAATATTAATACTGGAAAAAAGGAACAAAGAAGTTAATCGTGCGGCGATGTTCGGTAATAACTATGCTTACCTAGAGGACATAAAAAATTCCCCCCTCTGGTGGGGCGCATTGCTACACTGAGGAGAAGGAGACCGGGGACAGAAGCCGCCTCCATTATGTGACGAGTTTGCTCAAAAACAAGACGCTCAAGTTTCTAGTCTCCTTTCTCTGCACCGCCATCTACCAAGGAGGGACCTCGCGAACATGAAGCTGAATATGAAAGCTTCGCAATACAAATGAAGTTTTCGATGAGGTAAACTGAACATATGAGGTGTTGATATAATGCGACCATGTGAAACTTTGTGCTGAGTGTCGCTTTTAAAAATTCCTTATTTTTGGCGAAAACGTTTCTAGTGGTCTGTTCATTCGTCCAATTCGTGGCGTACATGGCAGGACGTCCCAGGTGCTCCGTGGATGGCACTCAGTGAACTGCGCGTGGGAGCGCTCTATCTTCGGGAGACGGTGACGTGTGGGATTTTTTAAGAGTGTTAAGATGTTGTCGTGCCGGCTGATTTCTTGGACTCCAAAGTAAGCTACCTTTTTGCCGCGTTAACATTGTAATAGGTGTAGTCAGCCGGGGGTACTAAAATAATAAAACAATCGGCATTAAAAAAAAAAAGTCTGATATGCTACATTTTTGCCGACAAGGTAGGGAGCATTTCTTGCGATGTCGAAAGAAATAAACAGTGTCGCTGCTCACTGGGGCGACTATTATGAAAACAAAAATCATAACGAGGAGCCCTTCAATCAATACAGTCCAATGTGATTCCCCTCCTATTTGTGATACATTGTGAAGAAAAAAATCACCCGTGCTTCCCTAGGCGCAATTCTTATGAGTTGAAAATCTCAAAGCACTACATACCTCGTCACCTGTGGACGATGAAAATCTCGAAACGTATTGGCAGCACCTGCACACTCATTGGGACTCTACTACGTTCCTGGTTGGAAGAAGTGTCTGCGGCCCAAATAACTCGGAAGGAATGTTGAGGCTTACCACCTTGGAAGACAAGGCATGACGTCAATTATGTCAGATCCGAAACCTATGATACATAAAAAGAAGGGAGCTGGACCTGTTTTTATATACAAAGACCCTAACGCGAGGGAAAAAAACAAACAAAACCTTCTCAGTCTCGGGATTTTGTAAAAATAAAGGTTCAAGCTTGACGAGACTATGGCGCAAAGCGGTAGGCGCCGTGGAGCAATACCACCTAAAGGGCACACACTAAAGGACAAGCACTAAAGGGCAGCACTGAAGGCTGGATCGTGGATTGGGAGCTTGACGATCGCACCACCGGCGGCCATCGCTTGACACCAGGCAATAGATGCCAGACTATGGGAGGAATGAATAAAAATTAACTTTTTGAAGCGTGTGCGAAGCGTCTTGTGAAGCTGGGGTCACGCCGCTTATTCATCGTACAAAAGACAGTCTGCAAACAAAGTCCAACATTATTCACCACGAGATCGGTGCTTCGAATGCCGCACGACAGTGAGTTTCAAGGAGAAACTTGACAAACGACATTCGAACCACGGATATCGCGGTGACTGAACGTTTGCAGACTGTCGTTTGTATGATGAATAAGCAGTGGGACCCCGGCTTAAATAATCTTTTATGAGGTTTCGAAGGATTAGTGAGAGAAGGAGAGAAATTTCACGTTTTCACGTTTTCCTCACGGCGTTCGAGTCTTTTTTTGATGTCCACGAATGACTACCGGAGGTGCCACTCGACCCTAGTAAAACAAGCCTGGACCCGCGATACAGCCTCTACGATACGTATGAGTGAGGGCATGGCCCGGTTACCTTGCTGGAGCAGGGACGATTTGAAGATGCGTCTTGGACCCTAATCTACACGGCAGGACGAAGAGATCGGAACATCGCCGCCTGCTGCGATTGGTGAGCGCCACGCCGCTGACTATTCGCCGCAGGCGCCGATGTCCCGTTCTCTTCGTCCCGCTTCGTCCCGCTTCGTCCCGCCGTGTAGATTAGGGCCCAAGCAGAGCTTTATAAGTGTACGGCGTCAGGAACACCTGTTCCGGTCCGTTTGAACCTGTCCCGAGGACAGCGTTCCGAAGGAACCGAAGCCAGGCCCGAACGCCAAGATGGTTCAAGTGTCTCCCAAGCGATTCCAGGGTGGGAAGGCACAGGGTTGACGAATCACCTGTGTACAATCAACGCCACCTAGAAGACAGGGCCTAACTACGACGTCATTCCTAGTGGATCCCCGACACACCCCAAGGGGCGAAAACGCTTCGACCAGAGCGTGGCAAGTCGGCAGACGCACGCGTCTTGGGACCTGCTTGCGTTCCATTCGTTCTGAGGCGCCGCGAGACGCACTTCGATGCTGACGGGAGCTATGCGGAGGGCAAGTTCGTTTGCATCTTGCACAAGGGTTGCGATGATAACAGAACGCCAAGCTCTTATTGGTTAATTGAAAAAGAAAATAGTGGGTAGAGATCAAGGCACCTAGCATTGATGTCTACCCACCATCCTTCCGATCAAAGCTAATCAGAGTTCGGCGTCGTCCTGACGTCACCACAACTCCAGCGCAAGAAGCAGACCCCTTGCTCTCCGCATCGGCAGCGCTGCGTGGATACTCTAGTGATGACGTTTGGGGAAGGGGGGGGGGGGGGGGGGGGAGTGTCTTCCAGGTGGTATTGGTAGAATGTGGCGTGGGCGAGGTACTCCTCACTGTCCGTCCACGGTGCCTCCCTTGCGGAAGTCGGAGTTTGCGAAGACTCGGCCGTTCCGGCGGGTGATGGCCATGATGATGGAGAAGCGTCCCTTGGGCACGAACGTCTGGTGGCCCCTCTCCTCCAGCTGCCGCCTGTACACCTGCGGCGCACGCGAGACCACCGGCCTCAGAACGATACTCGGTCCAAGACCTTCGAGACTGAGAGTCACGCATTATTTAGTTTCTAAAGGGATGCTTCGCGGGACTAACTTTATCTCGCAAACACTAAACCATCGCTTATGCCAGGAGGTAGTATTTTCTAGGTCTCTTCAGTTATTTCGCGTTGTAACTAACTGCATTAGCCAGAGTAGTCGGGGGAGCGCCGGCTTCAATTCTCACATATACCGGCATGAGCAGTCGGAGGCCATCATGTTACCGATGGATGCGGAAGGACGACTTGGTTGGAAAAACATCTCGATAAGAAACCGAGGTTTTGTCCGACCCTAATACGCTCGTGCTTTCTCAGTTCCGTCCTCGACAAAGCCACCTGCCCCGAGTCTGGGATGAATGGACACACCCACGCGCGCATGCGCGCACACATGCAAGCACGCACACATACACACGCACGCACGCACGCACAAACACGAATACACACGCACACACACGAACGCGTACATGCACGCGTGCGCGCCCTGTAAACTTACACACATACGCAAAAATACGCACACACACACAGACAAAACGATGCCTTAAAGAATCGAAGCAAAGAAATATAAGAACCTAAGTGCGCAGTGCTTGCCAGAAGTGAAACGGCGTTTGGCGAGGGTGAGAGAGTGGTTTTAAAAAGGGTCGAAGATGATTGCGACACAGGACAAGAGATGACCACCTCTTTCGGATGCCTGGCTTTTCGGCAAGCGCTCCTTGTGCCGTCCGTTGTCTTTGACTGCACGTGTACGTTGTGAGGCGCTGTCCAAGGTTGCGATGGATGCGGGCCATTCGAAACCCTCACCTAGATGTGTCTGGATATTTCTGTTTGTCCTTTGTCCCCCTTGTTCTCCTTCTCCAGGGATTAGTCTTGTCATCCTTGTCTAGCTCGCTTGCACCTTTGCATTTATTGCTTTAAAACAATAATTTTAAAAATGCAGGCCGTTCACCCTTGTTGATGTTAGACCGGTGGCATCTGATAAAACCCGTTTGCTCTGCTGAAGTCTAACTCCTGGTGAGCTCAGTTGGTAGAGGAGTCCACGGGAAAAGAAGAGGTCCCTGGTTCGATACCAGTACCGGGCAGACTTTTTCGGTCGCGCACCAGTCACCCAGCTGTGTTTGGAGATTTGTGTTTGTCCTTAGTCTCCCTTGTTTCCCTTCTCCAGGGATTATTATCGGCTATTCTTATACCTAACAGTACAGGAGAAATCGGGCTTTTCAGGAAGTCATTCCGGAATAGAGCCATCTCACCAGCCAGTTTGACTAAGCCACCGCTGTCGCAATGCATTGAGGGGATTTTAGTCTTCCTGCACGTGCTCCCTCGAGCTCTGCGCGTGTAGAGCACGAGACGACACGAGCCGCCTCGTGCGCAGCAGCCTCCCTCGGGGTCCACTCACTTCATCCAAGACACTTAGATCAGAGATGTTTCATCCCAAGACGCTTTATTCCAGGATGTTTCATCCCATATACATTAAGGCCCGTTCACACTCTTGCGACCGAGTACGACTGAGAGAGACGAGATCTCTTAAAACTTCTTAAATGTTTTTAGAATGAGGGAACACACTGGCATTGTGGCGCCATCTATGCGGTGACCCTGGAACTGCATTTCACAAGAGCGAAGGTTTTGCGGGATTTCCGAGGTCAAATGTGCGTAATACACGTCGAAAGCTCGTTTATAACATTGACAAAAGCTTTTCGAGCCAAAAAAGAAAGGATAATGCGCGAGAAATAATAATAAAAAAAAAAAATATGCCGGACCGCCGAGTTTACACTGCTTCCCAATAGATGGCGCCAGTGTGTTCTCTGGTTTAAGAAGTTTTAAGGAACCCAGGTTTAAGAGGTCGCAAGAGTGTGAATGGGCCTTTACATGCCAGTATATTTCATACTTTGGAGTTCCTGTGAACTGCGGCGTCACGCATGCGCCGAACGCTTTGTGAGATAGGTTTATTCGTGTGTTGACGGGTTATATTTAGAAGAAATGAGTATATTTCAAATAAAATTCACTATACCGGTTCGGTTTTAGTGAAGATGTTTTTATTTACACTAAGACAATTAAACAATGCATAGATAACACGCAGAAACACAGTGTTCGAGCTCACATGACATTTCTTGTTTCTCACATGTTTGTTTTTATTTATACATAAAGTTTATATGGATGTCTTAAGTTCCAGCTCCGGCACCACTTTTAAGCATTTCACCCCCTCCCCACCCTTGGGTCAAGGTGACGGGAGATCAATTAAAATACGTTATAAAAAAAACATAACAGAATTTCCTCTTGAAATAGCGCAGGTCTTTTTATAGCCTAAAATATTTTCGGAGCGATATTTATAAGCTAGGGCATCGCGACTTTGCGGACGCATGTAAAAGTGATCCTAGATAGGATCACTTATGGGAACACATCTAAAAGTGATCCTAGAATGTCTCCTAATTGCCAGACTTTCAGCTGGCTTTATGCTTCGAGGAAAGTGTGTTTTCGGGGGAGAAATCGGGTTTAACCCGGTTTTATAGAACTCGGTGCGGGTGCAAATATCGGAAATATTTGGTGTCATTCTACTGTCTTATCATTTAAAAGCTATGTTCAGGTCCAGCTATTATTTAAAAAAGATCAGCATGCACTAGACTTAAAAAAGAAAGGAAGAAGCGCTATAATATTTTTTGTTCTGGTTCACGTCGGGAAAGTTGACAACATAAACCGATGCACGAATAGATATGTGCAAGCTAGATATCTATAAATGGCTTGCACAGGACGTCTGCTATGCTGCTCTCAGAACCCTGCCGGTAATGCAGTGGAAGGTGTGGTGTCCCGCGTCAACGAGCGTCTAATGACTTATAATATTATACTAAAGGCTACGCTGTCAAGCGCCTATGCCACATGTCAACACAAAATTTAGTATTTTTATTGTAGTTTCATCTAAACGCAGCTTATAAAGATCCCTTTCTAAAAGTGCTCTAAGGGTCTCAATTGTGTGTTTGTTTTAATACTTCGAGGTCGTTCTATCTGTTAGAAACTTGACAGATGTACCACTAAGCAGCTTTGGTTTACAACTCGAAGCATTGAAATTAATCTCAGCGATGCGCTTGTCGCATAGAAATACGGTTTTCTTCTAGCACTGAGCACACCTCGTCTTATTTTTTTCTTAAACACGCAAAGCGATCGGTGCGGTTAAAATCGTTTAATTATGCTGTGCCTTTCTGCGTGAAAGCTCGCAGTCCTATTTCTTAAACTAAGACACCGCTATCGATCTTTTATGCGCAAGCTTTTCTTAAGCTGCGGAGTGTTGTTCATTGATGGGTCCAGAAGATTCCTGGCGGTACCATTTACTTCATATTAAATAGATGGACTACTTCGCGATGGTTTGGTCTACCTCGCATACTTCGCCATGTTCATAAAAATGTCTTCACTCCGGGCGTGCCTAATTGCTTTCTTAACAATCTAGCGGCCATGGTTACATCGTTATTGCACCTCATACGGTAGAACACAGCTAATGAGACCTCAAAAGTTGGTCCTGACCTATTATGTCTACATTCTTTTCACCGAGAAAAAATGTGGGATGTATAGACCTTTGGAAACGTCGCCTTCTGCGCGCTGCCATCTTTGTCTGCTCTGGCTGTGGAACGCCTTCTGAGCATGCGCTGTTGCTCTCCTGCGCGGTATATCAGACTCGGCGCACGCGTCCACAGCTCAGTGAGTCAGCATTTTTCGCCCGGGTGATAAGCGATGCAAAGGTCTGTACGTACACTTGTATTTCTGGATCTAAATAAAACAGCCTATGTTTTCGAACATTGATTTGCGAAGAATTTGTCATAGTCCAAGTATTCAGTTTCTTTAAGAATTCATTTGTCCAACGCATAATTTAATCAGTGTTATGCCTGAAAATAAATGGACTGCTATTATCTGCATATAGTGTATAATTTATATTATAATTAATATTTACAATGTCCTTAAACTTTTGCAGCCCCACTGGAAACTTCCAGTGCATTTTCGTTGGCTGTACCTTCTAGATAGGATCCTCCAGGGACACAGACCGCGTATAACAACAGCCGTAGCATGTAGCACGAAGTCGGCCTTTCGCTAGCGTTCCATGCAGCTGTCCAGCCTACATCGTCGGTCTTTCGCTAGTGGTCTGCCCCGCTGCCCAGCCAACATCGACGCCCACGACGCCCACTGTCGTACTTCTTGTTTTGGCACAAGCTCGCCCCCCTTTACTCTTCTCAAGTTATACACATAAGTTTTCATTGTTATTCGTTGAAATAACAGCTGTTAAAATGCCAATGCGGTTAACAAAAAAATAAATATCTGGTTACTTCCATGTTAGCTAATTACGGCAAGTTACGCGGACGCTTATCTAGTTCCTTAGGGTTTCCGGCTAGCGCTCTATACCTTTGGAAACTGGGTTTCGACGTCGACCCGGTTTGGCAGAAACTGGTGGTGCAGCCTGGGGTAGTCGATGGCCTCCTTGATGCTGTTCCCTTGCCACAAGTTGCGCATGCTCACCTGAAATAGCGGACCAAGAGGTTCAATGGCAGTGCAACTGGGACGCATATTAGAACCAACCTGTATGGCCGACAGCAACGATGCATATCAATCCTGCGTTAGCATTTCCTTTTTAAACCGTAGGATGTGCCACACGGTTTAATATGAGGAGGTTTCAAAGAAAGGAGTGCAGTTCAGCGTCGTGCAGGAACTGCAAGAGTGACTTGTAGAACTCGTCGTCATTCAGTCATCGGGTGTAGTTGTCGTGTGAGTAACCCCTTAGTCTGGCCTCGCTTAGTGTCTGCTCACGAGTGGCCTTGGTCCCGGAGCAGAGCCACAGCAGATGGCGGGGTACACCTTGGCCACAGGGGACGGACACTTGGCGCAGATTCCCAAGCCAGCAGGTGTGTGTCCCCGGGTCAATATATTTTTTTTACGTTGTGGAAGACTGGGTAATTAAAATGAATTATTAAGCTAATTTAGAGGCTATATGTTGCGGTGGTCCAGTTTTTAAAAAGTAACAGGCTTAAAATTATGTGTTGCGTAAGAAGAATATGAGAGAAAAAAGCATCTAAAAAAAGTATCTGACTTGAACTGGCCACAAAGCAGGACAGAATGCAGGGTCATTCAATGAGGTCGCTGGAATTTTATGTTTTTTTAAGTCTTTGCAATAAAGACGTGAATACATTTAGAAATAAAACTACAAGAGGTGCTTTGTCAAGATGCGCAAGAAAAGGTTCCTTGGGACGGTCATTTGGTGAGGCGTTCGAGATGCGCCCCCTGCTGGACACAGCGTAGAGCGGACACGAGTGGTTTCTACATTCGAGTCAGAGGTCGACAAAGACCAACTGGTTGGCACCCCGTTTAAGCATATTCCGCCACACTAATATGTATATTTTTTTTTTAATGGCAGCGTTTAACGTCTGGGTGAAACGGAAGGAAACATATTTATTTATTTATTTAGGAGACACCAGCTGAACAAACCAAGCATATACATGTAAGGAGGACGAGAGAGACGGATTCAACCACTGCTACAAACTGCATTTAATGAAACATTTCATCTTCATCGACAGGCTAGGATCAATCAAACCTAGCTTGCTTCACTTCTTCCTTTTTTTTTTTCCCCTAAGCTAGGGCATCCTAGTTTAAAACCAGACCGTGATCGCTCATAGGCGCTGAATGGCAGACGCGCTTTAACGTCGTTCGTACTAGCCGCCTGCAAGGGTATTCATACCATATCCGTCTCGAACTGTCTCCTGGATTACACACAGGAGCTGAGAATTACACGCATCTCTCGAGAACCCACCTCCCTACCCTCCCAACACACGATCGGCAATCCACGTAAGGAGCGGAACTTAATCCAGCCACCTCTCTAATGGTGTCTGGAACGAGTCTCCCATGGGTTTGTGTCCCAGGGGCTCAAAAGTGGTCCCTCTATTTCCGTCTGATGACGTCATAGAGGTCATGTTGTCCGATACCACCTCCTCGAAGGCAAGGGCCTTCCCCTCAAACGTCATCGGAAGAGGATGGACGCAGTGCCGCCTAGCTTGCGTCAGCATCGCCGTCAGCGTGTCTCACAACGAGCGAGACGGACGCGTCGAGCTTCAGCGCGTCTCGGAGCGGGGATCCCATGACGTCACGCGCAGGCCTTCCCTTCTAGGTGGCATTGCGGTGCCGCTTGCCGCGATCCTGGCGGTGTCACTGTGAATACGGCAGACGCCTGTTCTGCTTCAGGTCGCTCTCCAGCTCGTGCGTCTACGGAGTTGGAGAGCCGGGGTTGAATTCCCGCACCGATCGATAGGATCGCGACATCCGACATCAAGACAGGCCGGCTCCTGAAACGTCATTTGTTGCTACTTCGGCGCCCATAAGAAGCACACCAGTCAAAGACCACAGTAACGGTGATGAGTTGAGCGTGTTTGTATACATACAACAGCCTCAACTTAGGGAAGAAACGTAGAGAGAAAAAAATGAGAGACTATACTTCGTTTCAGCTTCGGAACGAGCGCGGCCGATGTTATGAGCCAAAGGGCCAATCAAACAGCAAAAGGGGTACAGCATCATGGCGTACTCTCTGTAGTTGATAGGTCCAGCCGGTATTCGCCGTCTTTCTGAGCGCGCTCCTCCGCCGGTTAGTCCTATCAACAGCAGAGAGCACGCCATGACGTTGTGCCCCTTTCGCTGTTTGATTGGCCCTGCGGCTCACAACATCGGCCGCGCTCGGACCGAAGCTGAAATGAAGTATAGACGGCTGACTACCAACGTGTTTTAGTTCAAGTTGTTTTCTCTCCACGTTTCTTCCCTAAGTTCAGGCTGTTTTTTTTTTCTTTTTTTTCAGTCAAAGACGCTAGGCAGCGTAACCATACCACCTCAAAAACAAGGCCTGCGCATAACGTAACTGATAGAGGACCATCGACCCGCCACCAGCGAAAACACCGCGAAGCTCAACGAAGGTTGCGTCAAAGCAGACGTGTCCATGTTGGCGTGGCCGCGTGCTAGCGTCGTGTTCGTTGTGAAACGCTGCAAGATTCGCTCGCGGCGATGCCGACGCGCCGATCCGTCATCACTAGTGCATCACTCACTAGCGATCACGATGGCGCAGGCCTTGTTTTTTTAGGTGCATTTGATCTGTATACGCATCGCGCTCTCCCAAGAATGACGGCGTGGTGCTCACTAGTGCGACGCCCGAGGTGATCTTGGCTCCCCCGGTGCCCCCGATGACCAGGTCCACGTCTCCGGTGGGGCCGACGACCACGAGCGGCGACATGGAGGACATGGGCCGCTTGCCCGCCACCACGAAGTTAGCCTCGGACGGGGCCACGCCGTACATGTTGGGAGAGCCCGGGATCGAGAAGTCGTCCATCTGGTTGTTCAGCACCACGCCGCTCGACGTACGCACGCTGCTGCCGAAACTGCAGCCCGAGGAGAGAACTTGGCTCAAGCGTCCGTCATCTACAGCGTCGTAATCGTCTGTGGCTGCGTCCGACGAAAGCCCGGCCCCATCTAAGGACCAGCCCGCATCTGGTACGCGTATATTTCCTAATTTATTGCGCACCAATGTTTCACTGTGGGCTATATTTCCGACAACGTTTTAGGCCTTTTGTATTTCAAAGTGAATAAAAGAAGAACGCAACTTTTGGCCAATTGGGACGTTTGATTTACTGTAAACAGAAGAGTTGGAAGAAAATCAGCCTTAGATTAAGCTTATCTTGATTTCTCCAAAGCGATCCGTCAGCACTGTTTTGTCACTGACTTGAAACGCCATATGGATACAGAAAAAAATGATCTTAATTAAAGAGTTGCTAGTCCAGCGGTGTGCTTGCCTTTGCTGTCTCTCTGTGTGAAACCTCCCTTGATGTTCAACTGGCAGCATATATAAGCAATGAACCCACTAGATCAGCTGCAAGCTGTCACTTGAAATCAGTATCCTGACTGTTTATGGACGCGTAAAAAAAATGTAGACGTCTTTTTTATTTGCCATTTTTGACCGAAGCTAAATTTTCCATGGATACTTTCCTCAATTAAATGCCCCACGTAGCAACCCGTTTGTCGTAAGCAGAAGCATTGTAGCGCACAAAAAGAATTCTTGCGATTTATGTGAAGACGGGTATTCACTGGATGCCATGTTTGAGCGCACTGTTCGTTTGGCATGTTCAGAACGAGTTCACACTTATAAGTTCCAAAGGCCAGAAATGGTCATGGTGCGGAATGCACGTTGCAAGAACACTCTGAAAGCTCGCTGTCAGCACGCACTGAGCAGCTGTTTACAGACGGCTGTGTAGTATACCGTCACATATCTAATCCATCAGATTGCATTTCCCTTCTAAAAGACCCCAATAACATAATATTATGGTGTGAAACATAGAAATAAACATAAAAAAGTTCAAAACGATGACATTTACAAAGCGTACTTAAATTCTACATCATGACACATAGATTCAAAGTTAGATAAAAGAACGCCATTTAAATATCTGGGCGTTCATCGAAGTCCCAATATTTCATGGAATAATCATATAAAGCTACATTTTTAAAATAGCTAAGATATTGTACATGGCAACAACAGAAATCAAAATACTAGCATGCACGGATCTGGTTAGGCCAAAGTTGGAGTATGCATCTATAGTTTGGAACCCCCATCAAGAGTATTTAAATGACAGGCTAGAATCTCTTCAAAACTCGATTCATACTAAAATAATACACACCTGTTAGCGCTACACAACTTAAAACTTCAATTGGTCTACAAAACACTTCAGCAGAGAAGATATCTTGCCAGGCTATCGTAATTCCATAAGCTATTTCACTCATCAACCGAATTCGCAGGCCCGCTGCCGCTATCGGGCGCGCGTTTCTGATCATGCATCGAGGTGGCAGCGCGAGCTCCCGCTACAATTAGCGTCGCCTGAAAACGCCGTTTTCAGGCGACGCTGTGGCCACTCTCATTAAAGGCGTGTTTGCTGCTCGGGGAGGGTCCCCTAACGATGGCATCATGAGCAGGCCTCGACTTCTAGGCGCTGTTGGTCGGCCGCAGATTCCGGTCGTTCCGCTCACGCACTAGTAGTTGACGCTGCTCGTGATGGCGATCGCGTCCCCGTTGGCGCCGAGGAAGGAGGCGTGGGCGGTGCCGTGGTCCACCGGGAACCCGGTCTCTCCGGTGTAGTGCGCCCTGCTGTCGAAGGTCTTGCGGTCGTCGATCATCCTCCGGGTGGCCTCGGCGTACTCCCGAGACGTCAACTGGCTCAGCAGCTGCGAGCAGCGAGACGCGCGCATGAACGCTCCAACAAACACCATAGCGCTCTCGGAAGCATCGGGACCGGACGGGACTGGCCGATCGTGGCTGCGTTTGCACGACTGCGACAGTAGCGAGTACGTAACGACTAACATGGAACGCGTTACTTGTTCGTGGTTACTTTTTTCGGTAACGAAGTAACGACTAAGTTACTCTTAAGAGAAGGAGCGAGTAACGTGTTTTTTTTACTTTCGGCTTAAGTGACGAGTCACAGTACATATATAGTTACTTGTATAGGGGAACGTGTGCCACACAGGTACCCAACCTAATCCTAGCCCCCAGCTCGCGCCTGTAATATCCACGTCTAGAAGACACCAGGGCCCGTTTGCTCGAAGCGCTAACCGCGGCTAAAGTTAGCCGCAGTACCTAGGAGAGGGATTTTGAGATCACGTGACTGGCTCGGTAGGGATGCGGGGAAACATGGCGGTGCCCCAGTGAGTGAGCGCCGCTCGCTTTGGAACTAATATGTCGTTGTGGTTGCAATATCGGGCGTGTTAGTCAGCAACGAATAATGCAGGAGGCTTTCGCTTTGCCTTACCTCACTTAAACCGCAAAGCATGGGCAATGACATCGCCGAATTTTTTAGATAGTATTTCGATTCTGGGCACTCCTAAGCCTAAATGAACGCGATAATTGTCGGCATGGCAACGCCTTTGGAAAGCGGATTGTTGATAGCACACAAAAGCAGACAGCGCCCCGACAGACTTTTTTCTAAATTATCCAAGCATCGCGAGGAGAACGCTGGAAGTGTAATTCTACGGTTCACGCGCGCTGGCCTTCCTCTTATAAAAGATTTGAAGTAAAAAAAAACATAATAAGGCTTTAACGAAGGCGCGTGCAAGGCAAAATTTTTTTTATACTTTTTGCTTTAGAACAGTTACTACTGCAGACGCCAGCACGTGCGACGCGCGCAACTACAGTCGTAGCATGCACCTCGGTGCTAGGATAATTTAGAAGAAAAATCTGTTGGGACGCCGTCTGCTTTTGTGTGCTATCAACAATCCGCTTTCCAAAGACGTTGCTATGCCGACAATTATCGCGTTCATTTAGGCTTAGGAGTGCCCAGAATCGAAATACTGTATAAAAAATGCGGCGATGTCATTGCCCATGCTTTGCGGTTTAAGTGAGGTAAGGCAAAGCGAAAGCCTCCTGCATTATTTGTTGTTGACTAACGCGCCCGATATTGCAACCACAACGACATATTAGTTCCAAAGCGAGCGGCGCTCACTCACTGGGGCACCGCCATGTTTCCCCGCATCCCTACCGAGCCAGTCACGTGATCTCAAAATCCCTCTCCTAGGTACTGCGGCTAACTTTAGCCGCGGTTAGTGCTTCGAGCAAACGGGCCCAGATGGACCATATTAATAGGTGTACAAGGTATGGCGGTATAACCCGAGTTATCCCCGAATGAACGCGTTAAAGGGCGAGGAATTCTTAAGGACGACAAATATTGTAAGCTGCTACTGGTTCATAAAAACGACCTATTCGAAGTAACGAAAAAAGAACGAGTTGGGGCTCCGTTTTACTTCGATGTTGAGCGCAGAGAACGCAGCGTAAGGCAGAACGCGCTCGTCCCATTGGACGGCGAGCAGGGAGTCGTTATCTGCGACCAAGCAATATATGGGTGCGCTATAGCGCACCCATATATTGATCTCGCCCGACACCAGCCTTTCGTGCGGCGTTTCCCGCGTTTTTGCTTTCAGTGCGCCACCTGGGAGCGGCGTCGCGAACCAGATAGCACACGGCGAACGGGCGGGTATAAGGCCATAGGAAATGCACGTCTGCCATTTTTGTTATCTCTCTAATAATTCGCTACTCTCGAGTTGACGTCTGAAAAAAATACGCAAAAAACTTTGGAATAAACGACGTTCGTGTGCCCCATTTCAGGTATGTATGTTTGAAATTCGATTTTTGCTTGGCGTGCCAAATGCGAAAGTTTTTACGGCCGCACCCTGTATGTGATAGTGGCCTAAGCGACCGTTTCGCGAAGATAGCACATGGAGTTTTTATCTCGCAAATACTGCGCGACCCACCGTCTAGTACAGAACTGGAAGTGTTTGAGGACTCTTAGCACATTGGCGCCACCACGTTTCAACTCACGCGAGAAAGAGCTAATAGACAGAGCTCAGCAAGCGTTCGGCGCATCCGTGAAGCCTCCCTGACTTTAGTTCGCAAGAGACATGCGGCAGTGCCCAAGACGGCTCGTACCGTCTCGTGCTCTGCACGCGCAGTGTTCCAGCGAGGTTCGGGTCCATACTTCGTTTCATACTTAGTGTGCAACGCTGCCAAAGCTACTGACGCGAGCACGTGGCTTTGTCTATGGTGTCGTTCGCGCGAGCACGCGTGCAGATGAACAACGAGATCAAGCCTCATGCTCGCGCCAGTAGCTTTGACAGCGTTGTACACTAAGTGTGAAACAGAGTATAGTACACTGTAGTTCGGGTGCAGTGGAGTTGAGGCTCATGGCAGAAAGGCTCAAATCGCCTCGATGCATTGCAGCAGCGGTGGCGTAGTCAAACTGATTGGTGAGATGGGTCCTAATGAGACGTTGAATCGGTCCATACACGTGGCCCCGACGTCATGTGGTGGCGCCGCTATTGGCAGGGCGCATGCGCAGACCCCCCACGCGGCGCTGGCGCTGGCGCGCAGCTAGTGCCCACACCTGGAACTGCGAGGTTGCCCACACCTCGTGTGCTCGTAAATAGCGCGCTGGCCTAGTAGTCAGTGCCGCGCGTACAGGGGGTGATCGCACCGTACCTGATCGACCGGCACGAACTTGGGGTCCCCCAGGAGCGCCCTTTTGGCGTAAGCGAACTTGCACGCCTCGGCGAACCTGGAAGGAAACAGACCAGATGAACGACTTCGTTAATTAGTCAGCCGCGTCCCATACCAAAGTGAAAAAGCGAGTCACCAACGTATAAGTACACACTAGAGCCACTAAATTAGCCGCGCTTAGAGTATTGCACTCCATACCGCGACATTGTTTGTGGGCGCCGCCATTTCGGCTCGTATGCAGAGCAGATGCAACTGCCGATCGTCATGATACAGAAGTGCGACTTCCTCAGCATTAGACGCGGTGTTGGAAGCTCATGTAATATTGCTTTGCTTTGTCGCGAACTGTTCATACATTTGTGGAGGGCGGAAAAGCGTTCCCTAAGATTTCAGATAAAGCTTCCGATAACTGGCAACCATGATATTAAGATAAAATATGGTCAAGTGTGGTTACTTGAAGCGTAGCTTATTTAATGGCAATAGTACAGACCACACAAAAAAAAAAGAAAAAAAAAAAGAGGGCGCTGGACACATGGTCTTACGTAGTAAGGCTAAAACTAGGATTCCGTGTTTTCGGAGTTTATTTCTCGTGGAATCCGGAGGGTGTTTTTCGGAGTTTATGTTTTGTCGAATATTCGAAGTCTATCGGAGTTTATTCTTGTTAGATTCCCAATTCTGCGAAGTAGGGAGTTTATCTTTCCCGGCGATCGAGTCACAACCATACCTTCTTCTAACAAGATCAATCTGGAAACCAAACCAGTGGGTGCTACCGTAACGCAGAATTCGAATGCCCCGTTGTCCCGAACGATCCCCAACGGGATGGACTGTGAACCTTCTTTAATCAATACTACGAGATTTCGAAGGAATCTGGTGAGGCGTCTCCTCAATGCCGCTGAACCTCTGGACGTTTTTTTTTGGGGTCATCGCGACCTCCAAGCGGGGAGTTTTCTTTTTGATCAGTTTGAATTTAAGAAAATTATACCGGCCATGTTTTTTGGATTTAATCAAATTTATTCGAAAATACAGATCCCTAGTTATAACCAAAGACGACCACTTATTAAAGCGAGTGTGAAAAAGCAGGCAAGCTGGTGTACGACTTACCTGTGACGTTTATGTATACAAAAACCATTTCGTCGGATATGTATGCTACAAGTAAAGAGCGTGAATGTCAGTGTGTACTTCACCTTCGCTCTATTTTAATAGATCCGTGAGACCTTTTTTGAAGGTGTTTTAAATCTAAACCGTGGGAGAGGGATAGATGTGAATGTAAAGTGATTTCGTCAAGTACAGCAGCAGCCATGTTTAAGACATTGTGTACGCTTGACCGTTGTTCAATTTTTTTTTTTTTTTAATCTGGGGTAAATTGAAGATTAGATTAACAAATACGCGACCTGGTTTACGTTACGTATAATTCAAAACCGGAGACAAGCGGGTGACTAGCAAGGGAACAAACACGCACGCATGAAATGTTTGAGATGTGTATATGTTTGTCTCCCTTCCTCTTTTTTCATTCGTCTACAGCAGGTGTGACCAGGCTGACCTGGCCTAAGAGCCGCAAACAAAACCACGATACTTCCAAGAGCCGCGGGGGGGAACTTTGTCTAGAGCAATACACGAAACTCGAACTACTTTCAACCTATCCGAGTCAAAAGCAGTCCAATTCTACATAAGGTAGCACAAGACTATCAAACTGGAACCTGTCTTTCGATTTAAAACTCGTTTCATTTTTCTTTTTGCGGAAGTTCTCCTGTGAACGGCAGGGATGCTTGGGAGCGGCCCGGGGGGGGGGGGGGGGGGGGGGGGGGGGGGGGGGGGGCGTAGGGGAGGGAGCCGCGAGCCGCCGGAGCTTGGCCACTTCTGGTCTACAGTTTTACATCATGTGCCGGGCCAACAATTGAACGTTCCCCACATCGTGTTTCCGAGTCGGAACTTTTGTATCGTTTCTAGCGTCGTTATTTGTTCTTCGCACTGCGAAGATTAGGATTTCGGAGTGATTAACACAGCATTTTCTGCGGAAAACAAACTACATATACCGATAAACCTTTTATCCGAGGAGGTCAAAAACAGAAAAAATAAATTTAAGTGAGAATGCAGAGGCTTCAATTGGGAAACGCTTCGGGGTTATTATTTTTTTTTTTTTTTTAGACGACAAAGAAGAGGGCGAAACTTTCTATGGGGAGGGGGTGAATGCTATTGTCAGAAATTAAAAAATTTCACCAACAGCAACGGTTAAAAACAGCTTGCGTAAACATGAATTGACTTCTGTCCCATGCGCTGAGAATGCGAGGTGTTTATTTAGACATAGGGAATATGACACTCCAAGCGGGCGAATATTTGTTTTTGGCAGCATGTAGAGTTCCATTCGGTTGGTTCTTCAAGGTTTTCGAGCGGCCGTTTTAAAGAGACAAGATTTTGGAAGCGCTTGTGGCCGCTTGCGACGAGACACGGGCATCATCTACCGGATAGCCCCCGTACACTTCCTCCTCTTCCTTCAGCGTGGGCTCAACATAATTGTAACGGTGTGAGATGGTGCGGTGATTTCAGTGGCGTATTCAGAGGGTGGTCCGGATGTCCTCACCCTCTCTTGAACTCTGCTTGTTTAAACATTTAGGGCGGGGAAACGGGGGGAGGGGGGTGGGGAGCTCTGAAACAAACATATGATGCACTAACCCCCCCCCCCCCCCCCCCTCCACCTTTCCCTCTGGAAATACATGCGTCCGCCCCTGGTTGATTTCATCTCGCAGGTAGTGCAGAGCCTTCGGGCTAGTTCTACGCAGTTCCAGGGCTACCTCGTAGATTGCGCCAGTGTGTTCTCGCGTCAGTTACAAACGGCCGGTCAAAGGCAAATACGTAAACCGGCCTTGGCTGGATTCCACACAAAGAGTGGAGCGGGACGAAAGAAGAAAACCGTCGCGCGAACAAAGAAAGGCCCGCTAAATTTGGTGAGCGACGCATCCGCCGCCCAATTGAGCGGACTGTCACGTAACGTCATCGGAGTGGCGTGTCACGTCACGTAATAAGGGTTTCTTCTTCACGTGTACACCCGCTAAATCTGGTGGGCGATATGTTGCGTGCCAAATTTAGCGGGTTTCGTCGAACTTCGGTGGCTATCGCCATGGTGGCACCGACGCAGAGGGACTCCCTCGCGGCTGGCGCCTCACTCCCATCGTCCAGCGTCGTAAATACCGTACCGAGAAGAATACCAACCCATTCAACATTTCTTTTCCGATCCGTTTGTAGAATTAAGTGGCGGGGCGCGAGCTGCGCACCTGTGCAAGGTGAGCCCGTCGTCCTGCAGCGAGTCGGAGGCCTTGTCCCGGAAGGCGTCCATGATGCCCATGATGTAGGCGAGCACGGCGCCGCTGCCCGGAGGAGGCACCGAGTACAGAACGCGGCCGTCCTTGAAGTTGGCCTGCACTGGCTGGGACCAGATCGGCTTGTACGTCTCCAGGTCCTGCCGGATCATGCTGCCGCCTGCGGAACCGAGGAAACGCGACCCTTTTCGTGTCTACAACCGTTTCTTGCCTCCAGAAAAGCTTCCGGTCACTTTGTTTCGGCAGGCCTTCCGAGCATGTTGATGTCGAAATTCCTGGGACGATGCGCGCTTCAGAAATCACCAAGTTGGGCATTTAGCGAGGCCCTTATGCTGCGCTATTTATTAAATATGAGAGGTAGACATTAGATGGTTGCCTAATCGGTTTATTCCGAGGGAGCCTCCGATGAAGCCTGGCGCTACGTTCCTAGCTTGGCGTTTGTCTGCTCGTGCCCCGCGGCTCTCAAGCGCTCGGTGCGAGCGCAGCCGATGGTCGCGAGCCGATGGGCGCCAGCTTGCCAGCCGCTACATAACACTGAGAGGAGTATTCAACTTCTCCGACAAATCTCTCGTTTACCAGTCCTTTAGCTAACCAGCGGGAGAACTGGTATATCATGTTTTACTGAACGGTGCATTAAGCGGTGCCGTGGTGCGGATCGTTTGTCCTTTTAGAGGTTCGCGGAGACGCAAATGCAACAGCGCCTCCTTTCGCCGTCTTATAACTAAACAGTAAATGAACCTACTGAAGACGCGAATGTAGCGATGCAGCGTTCAAGTTAGAATAGACTCAGAGGCGCATGGAAGGTACAAATGTAGATTAAGTTTTTTTTCTGGAGAAATTTAATGTGGCTTGCTAGAAAAAAAAGTCTCAGCGAAGACTGAGTGCAAGAAAGTGCTGCCAGGGCACGAGAGGAGTGACGCGTGAAGTGGAGTCTCCAGTGCTCGCGCGTCTCGGGCTTGGCAGGCTTTCTTTGACACGGGCTGCATTTACAGAGATGCGTAACGAAGCGCACCGAATGGCGATTTGACAATTTAGACTGGTGACAATCCTCCAGGCACGTCATCAAGCTTTGCGGAAAAAAGATAAAAAAAAAACAAAAAAAAAACGCTGGCTTTTTCTTCTTGAAATGACACCGCAACAAAGGAGTTTATTGGTCAGTGTTGTTTGCGTGCGAGTGTACTTGGGTCCTACTAGTGCCAGTAAGCTCATGGAAAGTGAAAAATATTCCAAGCGAATATCATTGCCCCTTTAAACTGAGACTAAAAGCTCCGCCTTCAGCGCGAGCCTTCCGCCCTTCCTAACACAAGTGTGAACGCGCAGGCACGCGGGTGGCGTACGGGGAATGATTCTTGGGGGGCGGGGGGGGGGGGGGGGGGGTGGAGTGGCTGGAGTTTTATAAGCTTCTCTCCTGGCTGCGCCACCGTACGAATGTCAGAATTCGGCGACACCCCAGATGCGTGGGGCAAGTGATGTTAAAAAAATTTTGCGGTTTCGCTCCGGAATGAGAAGAATGACAGCGATTCGATCCAATTCCAGTTTGCAGTAAAATAGCGTTTCTTTCCTTCTGTTTTCAGTTTCGGTTCAGTTCGATACCTTAAAAGAACAGTTTTCGGGTGTGTTTATTGGCGCGGACTCAACTCACCGTTGGCTCTGATTTCTTGAACGAGCTTTTCGGCGAACTCGCCCTTGTAGAAATAATCGGGTCCGTTGTTGGCAATGGCTTCGAGCGTCGAGGCCAAGTCCTTCTGAACCAGGAGCTCGCCTTCGTTTCAGCGTGTCGTTGGCGTAAGGGCTCCAAAAGGTCGACCTGCGCATGTGGTTGTTCGGGACTCACTACGAGCAATGCTGTTGCACCCCCATACTTGCTTCGATATTCGCGCTGAATGGATGTATGGTACAATAAATCTATACGCTTAAAATCTTTGAATCGAGCGAAGGCTAGCGTCACATATAACCAGCTTTCTTTATTCAGTTATAATAGTACTTCGAAGGTTAAGCTCTTCGTTAGGAACATCTATTCTTGCTACGCAGTTGCCACCACGAGAATCTTAAAAATTGTAAAAAAAAAACAAAAAAACTTTGCATACAGGCATATAGATACAACGGACCTGTCGCCTAGTTTTCACTGGCATTAGCAAGCTGACTGTGGCGAAACTTCTAGGCATTACGCGTCTAAGATTTAGAACTGCAGACACAGCAAGCGCAGCAAGCGCTACGCGCTTACACAACGAAACAAAATCAGGAGGATAAGGTGAGAGAAGCCACGAAGCCGTCATCGTACTGGCGTGCCTGAACTCCCGCACATAACCTTGAACAACCAAGCGCTTCTTTGTTTTACACCGTATAAGAGAAGCCTGCGCGTTCACTAAACCGCAGAGCACACAATGTGCCAATCATCGCGGACAACGAGAGGATTCCAGCGAATGATGAGGCGCAGAATTCGGCCGAAAATGCCATGTGCAAAGTGACAATGAGCCCGACGTTTCAAGCGCCTGCGCACAAAGCATTTTTCGGGGGTTCCAAGCTGAACACTCAGGGAGCAGGTCGGCGAGATTTCTGACCGCTGCAACTGGCCAGCGCCAACGTCAAGCGTGGCGCTGCCCCAACGCGACTGTCAGAAATGTCGCCGTCACTCTCGACTTAAAGACAACTCCGGTCAATATTTTCGCATTTGGATTACGACTGTTTTTAGCTTAGTCAGTGTCCCTAAATTACAAGGTTTATGTTTTTCTGATATTGTGTGTAGTTTTATAAATATCACGGCTCATTGTGCGATTTCGGGTGTCTACAGAAAAAAATCGAAACTATCTTCTAGGAGAAGGATGGCAACACTGATCATCAACTGTACTATGGTGCTTGGAGCGCGTCTTCGACTGGTGTGTTTTAGCGTCCTATCCCGCCCATACATCAAAAGTGGTCCCAAAGTGGCACCAAATGACGTCACAGAAGCCGGAGTGTCATGCTGTTGCATGTCGCAATCCTGGCGGCTGGTCGTAGAAATGCTAATGAGAAGGTTGCGAGTAGCACAACCGAACACGAGTGTCGCTGTCGTCAGGGCGTCCCAACTTCTGGCTGCCAAAACTTCCGTGGACCGCCACACTTGAGAGCGACTTGGAGCAGATCAGGCATCTGCTACAAACACCACCGCTGTTGGGACGCCGCCAGGATCGCGACCGGCGACACCATGACACTTGTATGACGTCAATCAGGCGGAAATCGAGGGACCACTTTTTTGTGCGCACCAGTCGGAGACGTGTTCCAGGCACCATTGCTGTTACGTCCGCGACGTGACCCTCACGGTGCTGCTAGGGTACGTGTCGCCCAGTGTTGCTTGACTCAAAACTAACCCGCCTGTCACCTGCTAAAGATTGGCTGGACGCATCTTTAAAATCGTTTTAGTGGTGTATGTGGCTTTACTTTGATGTAATACTTCAGCTGTGCTCCTATTTCGTGCCACTAGAGCGATTAGTTCGATTTAGACCGAAGTTGCCCTTTAAGACACCAGGGCCCGTTTGCTCGAAGCACTAACCGCGGCTAAAGTTAGCCGCAGTACCTAGGAGAGGGATTTTGAAATCACGTGACTGGGCTCGGTAGGGATGCGGGGAAGCATGGCGGCGCACCAGCGAGTGAGCGCCGCTCGCTTCGGAAATAATATGTCGTTGTAGCTGCAATATCGAGCGCGTTAGTCAGCAACGAATGGTGCAGGAGGCTTTCGCTTTGCGTTACCTCAATTAAACCGCAAAGCATGGGCAATGACATATGCGCATTTTTTAGATAGTGTTTCGATTCTGGGCATTCCTAAGCCCAAATGAACGCGATAATTGTCGGCATGGCAACGTCTTTAGAAAGCGGATTGCCTTGACTCAATCGGCCGGGTATAGAATGTTTACAAATCCGCAGCTCAGCGTGCGATCTCCACAGCTCAGCACGCGCGTGTGCGTCGCTTCGGAAAGCGAGCAAATCACGCGCGATACGCACGAACACTGAAAATGAAACCGGCCAGCAGCCCTTTTCTGGAAAGGTCTATTGATAGCACACAAAAGCAGACAGCGTTCCAACACACTTTCTTCTAAATTATCCAAGCATCGCGAGGAGAACGCTGGAAGTGTATTTCTACGGTCCACGCGCGCTGGCCTTCCTCTTATAAAAGATTCGAAGTAAAAATCATAAGGCTTTAACGAACGCGCGTGCAAGGCAAAATTTGTTTTATACTTTTTGCTTTAGAACGGTTACTACTGCAGACGCCAGCACGTGCGACGCGTGCAACTACAGTCGTAGCATGCACCTCGGTGCTTGGATAATTTAGAAAAAAAGGTTCGTTGGGACCAGGGTGTAAGATAGACAGGTGGTGAAACGAGAGCCAAATGAGCGACCGGATTGTGTCCCCCTCGGTTTTCTCTTTTTCTGTGGCGCCATCTATGTGGAGCACCGCGAACTCTCACTCCAGCTGGGCGAATGCTGGCGACCGGTCAAACTGACGGAGAAGGTTTCTCGTGTATTTTCAATGGAGGACTGTCGTGCTCTCAGTTTATTTTGCGCACTCTCCCATAGAGTTCCATGCAAATTCGATTCTAATTTTTTTCTTCTCGCCGCAGCGCCATCTGTCGCAAATCGGGGGTACCCGCAAGCCTCCCGCAAGCAGACGAGTACACAATCCGGTCACGGCGCTGCGGTAGGTTTCTATGGGCCGTTTCCCCACCTGTCTATCTTACACCCTGGTTGGGACGCTGTCTGCTTTTGTGTGCTATCAACAATCCGCTTTCCAAAGACGTTGTCATGCCGACAATTATCGCATTCATTTAGGCTTAGGAATGCCCAGAATCGAAAGACTATCTAAAAAATGCGGCAATGTCACTGCCCATGCTTTGCGGTTTAAGTGAGGTAAAGCAAAGTGAAAGCCTCCTGCACCATTCGTTGCTGACTAACGCGCCCGATATTGCAGCTGCAACGACGTATTATTTCCAAAGCGAGCGGCGCTCACTCACTGGGACACCGCCATGTTTCCCCGCATCCCTACCGAGCCAGTCACGTGATTAAAACAAATCCCTCTCCTAGGTACTCCGGCTAACTTTAGCCGCGGTTAGTGCTTCGAGAAAATGGGCCCTGAGGCCATAATCTGGCCACTTGGCAAAAAAGTTGGCGAGAATTCTGGAGGCCATGATTGGCCGACACCGGACTTGACCTTGGCGCCGGCCAATCACAGTCGCCCGATTTCTCGCCGACGTTTTCGCCAAGTGTCGATATTAGGGCCCCAGGTATGATGGTATTCTGAGCCTTTTCATACTCTGGGCTTCTTCTGCCGTATGCATTGATTGAAGGCCGGCGTGCCCCGCAGCAAAGTGAGCGAACATAGCTTTCAAAGGGATCATGCGATGACCTCACCATGGCCGGTAAGATGACATGCCGTAAATAGCGAACAAGGACCGATCAAATGTGGGATTCGTCTATTAATTTAAGAAGCCGAGTGAAGAAAGGGACACTGGATGGAAATAATATATATATATTAAGAGCATCCTCGAATCGAATCATATTTCCATCAGTATGTCCACGCTTCTTCTCTCGTCATTTCCGCATCGGCTACTGAAGCAGTCTGATATTTGCTTCGTTAATAGGAAGCATTCCCTGGCGGCCATAGCTGTGAGCGCGACTGCTGAGCTCGGGTTGATGTCGAGCTTCCACAGCTCTTTTGCAACGTGCATTCCGCACCATGAAGATTGCCGTGCTTAGCGGCCTCCTAATGTGAGCTCCTTCCGAGCATGCGCTCTAAACAGCGCCCTCATATATGGCATCCATTAAATACCTCCTATACACCTTTTCCACGAGGGAGCCGCCTTCTTGAATGTCGTCACTTCTGGTACGCATTAAAACGTTGTTTTGGTCTCTCCACGCCGCCGGAAAGTGTTTACGAGAAATGCGTGATTGTCACATATTCTTCTTCCGCCTCACCTTTATCTTCTCGTATATTCCGGTTTTTAAATCCATTTTCGCGTCGCATACCAGATACGACACCCACGTGACCGAGAACGGAAGGAAACGAGAAACGCCTGTAGAATCATCAGAGCTCTACAGCATGCAGCCAGAGGTGCGCCTGCATTTCCTGCTTTGGTTGTCGGCTGTCGTAAATCGTTTTTTTTCTGTCTACCTGCCTGCCTGCATACATGGATCGAATTAGAGTCGGTAAAATAATATCTTTCACGCTCTACGCTAAGCCCGAGCGCAGCCGATGCCACGATTCGACGGGGTGCATTGCCGGAAGGTCATGGCGCTCGTCGTGATTCTGCTCTGACCTGCGGAGCAAATCGGGGCGTTTGCTATCCGCGTTTACCCGCGGATAGCAAACGAACAGAGATGAGCGCCGCGAACTCTCGGGTCTGCTTGGGCGTGGGATGGAACGTCGGCTGCTCTTACTGGGAAGCGGAGTGTTTTCCGGCGGCTCACCGCATGTTGGCGTGACTGTAGACGACGTCCTTCTCCTCCCGGAGGGCGTTGGCCAGGTGGGCGCCGACGGGGAAGCCGTCCCTGGCCAGCCGGATGGCGTCCTCGAAGAGTGCCGCCCACGGCAGGTTGCTGCCCATCCGCTGGAGCAGCACCTCGTAGCCGCGCAGCTCGCCGGGCACAGCCGCCGCCAGGCCGCCTGCACGGGGACCAAGGAACTGTGCGTGCTCCGCTTCCGGAGCACAGTCTCCCGGCGGTCTCAATGTGTTTACTTTAGGTATTGCGGTGGAAGCGAACGTCGCTCTTTTGGGAGACACGACCGGTGCGACCGCCGCGACGACGTGACGAGACTTCACTGGATGCGCACGCCCATCGTTTTCCGCATCTCTCGGAAGCGCAAGCACGCCCTGGGTTGTCAGCCGTCGTGTCGTCTGCTTGAACATGACCGTTTTGAAATGCGCTCGCCTTATAAAAAAACAATTGCGAGCGATCCCTCGAAGTGTGTTGCGACTTACAGCGGTAGCTGTTACGTTGTGGAAATGCATGTTGAAGGAGATTTGCTTCCAGCCAGTGTGCTGTACAATGTTTGTTTTGCAATGGGTGCTTTGCTTTCAGCGGAATTGTTGTAGGAGACGTCTGTGAGGAGCAGTGGTGTAGCCAGGGAGGAAAGAAAGCTCTTGAGGTTTCAGTCCCCCCCCCCCCCCCCCCCCCCCCCGAAAAAACTTCCTGGCTAACGCACTGGATTCAGGAGTGTGTGCTTTGGGAGAACGATTCTGAGAGATGCTGTATTGGTTAAAGAAAAAACAAAAACGTGCTTTTAAATTTTCGTAAAACGCCTTTTTTTTTTTTTTTTGCGAGGGCGCTTTAGACCGCGCTTTTGTTTCGCGCCTACTTTCGCTTCGAAAGTAGGCGCGCGAGCTGTTCTTAGAGGCGCGGAGAGCACACCAGGGCTAAAGCGGGGCGGCGGCAGTGGCGAGGCGAGGGAGCTAGAGTTCCTCTAAATGGTCTCCCGAAGGGGAAGCAGAGTTGGGTCCGCCATCTTGCGCTCGAAAGCGTCCAAATGTTTGTGGGAAAGCCACACTTTGTGTTTGGAGGTGAGTGCTCTTCGACGCTGTGCTTTACCGTCGTTTAGACTCCCTCTACACTCTAAAATAAATCAGTTCTTGAAAGGTTTTTCGACGCCCCAAAGACCTCTTTCAGCTCGTGAAGAAATTCTCGCCTCAAGCACTATCGCACCCTGGCGCACTTGAGAGGCAACTGGGCAATAAAAAACTCTTTCGCTACAAAAAAAAAAAAAAAAAAAAAAAAAGTTTGGAAATTGTTTTATTGGTTTTTCACGGAGCACTAGCTCTTCTAGGGGAGTTATTAAAATAACTTTTCAAGGCGCAAAATATGGACGAGCCGTAGAACCCCTAAGAGTTCTTTTACGACCAGATTTGTTTTAGTGAGTGTATGCCACGATTGCGTAAACCCCACTACGGCTCGTATAAATACGCGCGTGTACACTTCGCTCGTGGAATATTGCAATTATTTCCTAGCCCGCATAAAGTTGTATTTTATAGCCGAGCACGGGTTCTGACTCCAACAAAGCTACAAACGGGGCTGTTCGCGTGTGAGCATTCCAAAATATGAACCACGTATCTTGTATTATACACAACAGTGCAGTTCAGATTTCAGACGGTGTACGTGGGAAATTCCCGGTATGTTGACTTTTGGTGGCGTAAAAAATTGTACGGATGGAATTCAGTAGCCACCGCGCCAGGTTCACAGCTGAAAAAGTGAACTACGTGGTGGTCCATATTTCGGGCACCGTTTTAAATAAATCGCAAAAATGTGTTTCGCGAGCTACAATTTCGTAATTTACCACATGAAGGCTGCTACATAGTGGATTTATTTTGTGACAGCTTCAAAGAGAAGACTTACCTCGATGAAAAGGTTCAAATAGAAACATGAAAATTTCTACTGACGAATATGACGTTAAGGCTTTTCCCAGGCAAGCTGGAAACGCTTTTGTAGGCCTTTGAGACGTTTGATTTAATAAAAACGTAAACGAGAACGACTGAAGTCCTTTTTATTTCGTTGTCGTTCCTTTTTTTATGAATCGAGCGTCTGAATGTCCCACAACAATGTTTTTTCTTTGCAATAAAAATACATTGAAGTTGTTTTGTTTTTATTTGTAACTTTTGACTGTATAAAGTCTATTTTCTGACAATTTCACAAAAAAAAATCCACCCCCAGCAGTCCTCATATTCTAAATTAGAGTGCAGGAGCTCGCAGAACTGATTTTTGCGATTTATTTAAAATGGGTCCCGGAATCTGGAAGACCTGGTATGTCGAAGGCTTTGCCCATCTGCAATACTCGTGTTCAAGGCCAGATTTATTCGTGAATTGGTTTGTTCACTGCCCATTTGTGCTCTCAACTATAACGCACGAACAAAATGGAATAACCACACAGGTAGTTTGTTAGACATGCATGTGAATTTTGCCCCACTATTTAGTTCTCGCGATTCAAAATGATGTCTTACTTAGTGATTTAGCTTCGTCTAAATATTGGCTTCTCCTTCTTTTTTTACCTTAATCATCCGGAATGGCAATACCATCACTAGGCTACAAGCGCGAGCTCTTTGCAAAAGGAGGCCCGGCTCTCTTGTTCTGTAGGAGAAAACAGCAAAAAAAAAAAAAAAAGAAGTTATGAGCTTTGTCTTCTATCTTTCAAACAATACCTTTAAAATTAAAAAAAAAAGTTTTCATAATGCTGCAATAAAAATCGCCAAAGAAGCAAAAACTGACATATGGAGATAAAGTTTTCTATGCCTGTTGAGCCTAGTGAATTGTTTGACAGGGCAAGGTCGGTGTGCTTTCACTTGTTCTATCGAAAACTGTCACTACTGTGGTGTGGCGGTGTTTTAAATCTTCTTGTAACAACAGGTGTGGGCCCAAAGTAGTCTTATATGCGAAGTAAAGCTAAAGATGACAAAACGGCGAGCTCACAAAAAGCAAACGACACATTGTCCCTTTTTTAGAAGATCTCCGGGGGTGTCGCTAGAACAGTCAGCTTCTTTGGAACGCTAAACACCATTACTGCTTGTTTGTTTATATATTTGTCAAAAAATAGCAAAATATTGCCTCCCCGTTGGCCCTCGTTCTTTCCAGCGCTCTGTTGAACCTAATCGAACCCTGCCACGGTTGCGGCGCAAAATAAGTGGATTAGGTGCCCCTGCAAGGCGTGAAGCTGTGTCAAGCTCAGTCCAGCGGCACAGCACAGACCAGAGTCGACCCGGGTAGCGCAGGCAGCGCAGATAGGGTAGGCCGCCAACGACGTCCCTGCGGATGGCCGGGATGGCGGATGGCAGCGACGGCTGCTGGCGGTAGATTCCGCCACTCACGAGCAATCGCGAAGACGCAACGAGAACGCGGGTCATCTGTACCGAGGGTTCCCAAATCCACTGCCGTCGTGGCGCTGTACGTATTGTAACAGGTCTATCGAAGGACTCTGATAAGGCTTCCGGGTACGCTATGCTAAAAATGGCCATGAGGCGATTTTACTAAGTCGTTCCGGTAACTGAGAGAACGATACGCGATACTCGGTCAACGCCTTCGCGCATGCGTCGTATCGTTGGGGCGGGTACGGCATTGGAGGTATCGCAACGATCTACTAAAGATCTGTATCGTTAGAGTACACAATCTAAATATCACGCCTGCGGTATTTATTTATAAAGTTTCGAGCTTATTTTTGCCAAAGGGGAGCGAGGGAGGTAGAAAAAAAAGGGGCTGTTGCAGCTTGTCGTGGAATCCAAAATAAAAGCTTCTTGAGTTTCGTCTTGGTGTATCTTATTTAACTCGATAGACGCAATGTAAAGCGTTTTGTGACCTTATTCAACTGTTTTTGTTCTTATAGTAATTATTTATATTTTAGTACACGCGCTGTCGGCCTTCGCACGTGCGTTTACGCGTTTATGACATGTCCGGAACACGACGCGTGTGCTGTCGCTGCCCCTTTTTACGGCCCGAATTGTCCGCCGAAGCGCTCAGAGAAAAAAGAGAAGATCTGCGGGGCCTTACAGTCGAGCCAGGCCGTAAAGCCACTCACCGACTCTGGCCAACTTCTTGTCGGCGGTAAACATATCCTTGGAGGCAGCCGCCGGCGCCGTTTCCCGGGCGATCAGGCTGCGAGCTTTCTGCGTGTCTCTGCGAGGGATTCCAAGAAAAAGGGCCTCATTGTGCGGTTTTCGAAAAACGCGGCTACGGGGTGGTAAGACCTGTGCAACACGCGATGACTTCTATGAGTCGTATTTATGAGGACATCGTCATGAACGCTCATCATAAACAAACGACACGCTAAAAGCGTTAAAAAAAGTGGTTCGTGCTATGAAATGTTTTTGTTATGTCCTACCCGCTCTTTGAGGTTGGAAATAAACGACGTGAAATAAACCACTCGGCAAACTGCGACACTTTTTAGAGCACTATACCTAGCCCAAAATGAATTACAACTTCTAAGGTGAGAAAACACAAACCGTACTTTCGAAAAACACAAACAAACAAAAACTAGCCCATTGTGTAAAACTCGAACGTCGTCAAAATGTTTAGCGACTAAAGTTGAAACCCTAAATGTTTTGTATACGTTTCATTTCGTGTTTACTTCTGGCACCATGGATCCTTTATGTTCTCTTTTCATAGCGCGTTTTATTTCGTGACAGCGGTGATTTTGTTGGTTTGGTTGAAACTTTTGTTGCTGATATGTTGAACTGTACAATTAGGGGTGGGGGGGGGGGGGGGGGCAGAGGCTATGTTAGGCGTTGTGCCTTTATCTCTGGACCCCCTGCGGTAACAAATCCGCAAAACAAATGTAAGACACCAACATGTTAAAACTTTGTGTAAGCATTGTGAAAAAGTTACGTTCCAAACGTGCGCGTTATTAAAAGTTTAGATTTAATAAAAATGAATAGAAATGGCAAATGAATGAATGAAAGATGGGCCCTTTTTGATGCCTTGTCTCCTTAGCGCTTCTTCTTGCTGTTTACGGCGAAATCCTTAGAAGCGAGAAACTGAGTTTGTTTATCAGAGGAGCCCGTGGAGCAGCAGAATCACACGGAGTGCTTCAGCTGTCATATTAAAAACTGAAAAAGGCGAACAGAACTAGGACAATGAAGACCCGGGTACAGCATGTCCGGCCATCTTAGTGTTTTCATTGTCCTCGTTTTGACCGCACTTTTGCACTTTTTACTTAGCATGAACCAACAAGCCCGAACCTCAGCTGTCCGCCTCGCCTCTTATACCCTTGTTACACGGCCACCCCTAACCGCGGTTAAGTCAGCTTTAACTGCTATTACGCGACACCACAGTTACCGCACTATACTCTCGGAGAGCTATTTGAAAACAAGTGGAGAGCGCGCGTTCACTGCTGTGATGGGTGCTCAAGACGCTCAAGCGCACATTTGCCCGTAACTTTGACTGCACAGCCAAATAATGACTGCATAGCCACAAGCATTTTGCGCTAACTGTGGTGGGAAAAAAGGCGGTGACGCCTTTTTTCCCAGATCCTATAGCTTCGCTTTAGCTTCGCTAAAAAAAAGATCATTTCGAAAAAAAAAAAAAAAAAAAGACTGGCACTTGAAAGAGCATGTTAAAGTGCGTCCTCCTCACACAATTTGAGCGCCTTCTCGCAGTTTTTTTTGTGACGTAATTGGCGAAGGCATTTTTGAAAATGTTAACAGATGTCGCAAGTTGCAGGTCTGTAGTAATTATTGTTGTTGCTGATACACTTTATGATGCGAAGGATGGCGCAACGGCCTGGAGTAGTAAATATTATTGCCATTCATCAAATACGTTTTTTACAACGACTGAAAAGGCACTAACTACACTGCTGACTGCTAAAAATAAAAATCAGACGAAACATCGGCCGTTTCCTATCTTTTTACAGCGATAGCTGTTAGTAGGACACTTCGAGGTTTCGCACGGTTAGCCGTGCTTCATATCGAGGCGGGTCATTTTCCGCACTCCGCAAAATATTCCATGAAACGCTGATAACAAGATAACACGCAAGTCAGATAACATGCATAGTCAGTAAAACAGTCCCCGCCGGGCAATCAGGCAGTGCACCGGAATGGGTGCCCAGGGGACACAGAATTAGCACAAGCAACAATTCTCGGGAGCTACACGGATAAGACTGCATTAGAACTTTACGATGCATTGTGTATCAGCAAGCAAGAAGAAAGCAAGTGCGTTAGTTCCCTGTCAATGCAGCTGACAGATGGAAAGTTTAATTTTCTAAACGAATAGTCAGAAAGATAATATTAGAAATGTGTGTTTGTTTCAATAAACCTTTATTTGAGAGTGCACTTCGTTTTGTCTAGTTTCTTGTCCCTGTCTATTCGGCGCTTTTCTTTTAGCATATGTGAGTCCTTGTACCGAAGTGAAGTACGAAAACACGCCCCCCTCTTACGCAGACAGTTGACATGCTCTCTACTTAATACACCCTCATTTCTTCCAAAATTCTATGGAATTTTCGTCCGGTGTGTTATTGGATTTTTTACAAAACGGCTATGCGGACTCGAGTGTGCGCGCTCGCAGCTTTACCCTTCATTCAGTCCATCTGCTCCGAAATGACATCTTAGCGTCTCCGACGCTCAGCTGTCACTTTGTTTCAGCTTATACGTAGTAAGGTAGTGAGCTGGGCTAGTTGGTATGCATTAAACATGATGATAGACATCGCTTCTTTTCCGTTCTCTCCTCACCTCGTCTGTTCTGTCTGTTTGTGCGCGGTCTATCATCATGTTTAACACCTCATTAGGGTTGCGTAAGTGTTTACATTTTTTCTTCATACTCTCAAGATGGCGTGATGCCGGAAAGTTCGCCGGAACGGCGACACGTATTAGTTGAGGTCGGCATCCAACTGCCAACGATTTGGATTTATTGAGGTTTTTCTGATAGTCCTTGTGAACAAAGTGGTAGACAAGATGGAATGAGACTGTCCCATGCAGCAGTTCGTCGGAGAGTGCAGCCAACCACACATTATTTCGAGCTTCATCTTTTGGAAAAACTTTCGTAGCACGTCGTTTTTCGATTTGGTAGTACCGGGGCAGAACTTCACGCAGCACCTCTTCGACATCGCCTCTCACGTCGCTCACCAAGGTCTTCTACGCGTCGTTTCCTTCCTTACCTCTTCAAAAATCGGTTTAGACCGACTATCTCTGCTAAAAAAAGAGGAACTGAAAAAAATTGACGCGTCGTCTGCACGCGAAGACAGGCCTCGCGAAATACTCTCGCTGTTGGCCAGCTGATACGTCGTACGTGCGCGTGCCCATCAACCATGAGAGGGAAAGAAATAAAATTAAATGACACTTCCTGTTTTAAGTTATTCAAAAAGGCAAGGAGTGCTCCATTTTGCCACTTCATAGACTCGAAAAAGCGCTTTATGTCAAACTTTATTAATTTTTTTTTGTGTGTGTGTGCGTACAAATACGCCGTTCTCAAGCTAGATTTTCAAGGCGATCCCTAGGAATAATTTTTCAGTCGTTTGCAATAATAAAGAAATATATATCGGTGTTAAAGTTGCCAGTGGCCCTTTATAGGGTACCATCTCGGTGTAACAATCAGACTTGAAAATAGAAATGCTGCGTAATGCTTGTTATCGGCAGGGCTGGCATCTTAGAGACAGCAGAAAATATTTTGACTCGTCTCGCTTCTAAGATTTTCTTTTCAGTGACCCTAAGCTTCAAAACATTTGGCACCTTATTTCAATGGCTCGCGCGACATTCTGGTAAAGTGCGAGATCCCTGTAATGAGCGGTTTTTCTTTGCACGTAGTGTAGATGCGTGTTATGAAGTGGTTGTTTAATGTGCGTGCGAAACGTAATAATGCTGCTGAGGCAGACGGCCTAAAAGTCTAGGCCTGCGCGGCTGCGGGGACGTCATTGTGAGGGGATCCCCGTGCGGCAAACACTCCGAAGCTCGGCGAGAGTGGTCGTAAAGCGGCAAACGTCTTGGCGTCACCGCGTGTTAGCGTCAAGTTCCTTGCTGAGGCGCTGCAAGACGGGCTGGCGGCGCAGGTCGTTTAGGGGGTATTGGGTAGACGCAGTGTGCAAACATCGCAGAGGGAGAGAGGGCAGTGCGGTTACCTCTTGTACACGGTGGCCACGAAGCCCCCGCCGATGCCCATAGAGTGGGGCAGCACGACGCCCATGCAGAGCATGGTGGCCACGGCGGCGTCGGCGATCGTGCCTCCCTTCAGCTGGATCCGCCTGCGGGCAAGACACCGACTCAGGACAACCATTCATTCGAGGAGACTCGCGTCTGGGAAAAATACGCCGTTTGCGAGATTATTTTGTGTCGTCATTCATTCGTAAAGATTTTCGTCTAAAACAGTCTCTTAATTTACCCCATCGAGCAACATGGGCAGTCGCCATGTATAGGCATCGCTTCCAGCGCGAAGCCTGTGAGTGGACCCGAGTCCAAGCCAAACGCGGACGCAGCACTCGGGTCCACGCTCAGGGTTCTCGCCTGGGATATATGGCGGCCACGGATAATGGGCGCCATAGCTGGTTTCACCTTACGATAGACCTCGGTGGAAGCGCCATTGCAGCCACTCCTGCGTCTCGAGGGTATCAGGTGCGCTCTTGGCGTCCCTGAGCCCTCCCGAAGGTAAGGTGATAGGGCGTTGGAGACCAGCGCCATGGGCCTGTCCTTGGAATAGCTACGATGGATGCCCTAGTTTCCGCCGCGGTCCGTCGTAAGATGAAGCGTAGTATACTAGACGGCTCGAGCTCACAGGGACCACGATCCATCCAACTGGACGATGAAAAGCATGCACGCACGAAGAAGAGACCACACACCGGCTCGAGCGCGCCCATCGAGAAACCCCCAAGCCACAAGAAAAGGTCATGATCGGAGGGAACGCTCCCAGGGGAGACCAAAACGGGGCGCTGAAGGGCTCTTTTTTTTTTTTTTTTTTTGTCCAATAGCTTTTAATAGCTTTTTTAGGGTTTTTTTCTATCTTTGAGGCGTGTCTTTTCAAACCGGAAGCACGGTTTCTCTTCTGATGGCGTAATGTTTCCTCCAGAAGTTTCCTACCTCGATAAATGAAAGGCTGACAGGTTAGCCCGGACGTCGTTCCCAGATGCCTACTCGGCGCTTCAGTTAAAGAGGACGGGCGAAGAAAATCCCAGCGACGAGACAGCACGGCAAAGCACGTGGTTCTGATGACGAGAATGAAAGGGACAATGGAGGATGATGCTACAGATAGTTTCTACTTAGAAACAATGACAATCCCGTTGGCTTTAGGTCGCACCTAAAGGCTCAGACACACTGCTGATACATCAAGCAAAAGAGAAGGAGTTGGTTGCGGACACGATGACAATGTGCAGACATGCCTCAATCATGTTCGAAGCTGCTTCATTCATGCTCCGAACATGTATGCAGAGAGTTCTTGCGAGACCAGCGTCATACGAGGAACGGACAGTTCTGGAGACGGTCTCCTGTATGATGTAAAATGTAAACTGCCGCGTCAAAAATGTTGAGATGGTAACAGCCCTGCCACACATTCGATGTCATTTCCAATCGAATGACATCGAGCGGTTGGCAAATCAGCTCTCGATCCCCAATCAGCGCGCGCCACACCTCGATGCGCCAGTATCGTGGCGAACGCTGACTGACCAATCGGACAAGTTCATTCGATGGACCCTGTGCCGTGTGGCTTGGGCATACATGAGCTAGGACAAACTGGCGGAGGAAAGGGGACGGTCTGCACGATGCATTCCTCTCTTCGAGGTTGAGTCGCGAATCGAGTCTGCTCGATGAACCATGTCCTGCTTCGAGTATATTCCTGAGACACCACAAGATGACGGGCTCGATGTACTGGCATCCGAATGCTCCTAGACGGATAGGGAGCAAACTCATGTTCACTTTGTGTGAGGGATTTTTACGCTGGCATGACGAACTCAAATTTTGGTCTAAGTAACACTATAGCGTGCTCTGTGAAGAGTATTTATTTAGAAAGGACAGACTATTTTCTCGGCTAAAAGTTACATGTCCGCACGTTTCGAACCTGAGAGATTCCTCGCATTGTGCTTTTCAAGACACGGTACCACGTGGTGGCACCTCGACCTCGCACCCTGAGGTCACACTTTTGAGCGGCTTTACTCTGCCATGCTGGCTAGAAGCAGAGGTGTCAGAATCGCGCAGCTTGCTTCGCGTGCGGTGGCGCTCCAGTATATGACGACGACGATAGGCGGCGCGCTTATCGACTCTGAGATGACAATTGCAGACACTGCCGCGCCGAGAAAAGGCTCGTTCGCGTCGCAAGAAGCGCTTATATGTGGTTCGCTTCCCTGAAAGCCTTGCTCCGTGCATTTCGCGATGGCAAAACGGCAAACACGCATCTGTGTTCCCGCTGCTTCGAAACACTGGTTACTACCCAACGTTTTGGAAATTCATGTAAATAAAGACGCATTAAAATGAAGCTGAGTTTCAATATATCCGAAGGGGTTTCTTTTAAGTGTCAATGTTAACATTCGGAGTGAATCCCGTCTTTTTCTCGTCCGACATTAGCCGACGTACACCCTTTCGCTCAGGGGTCCAGTTGCAAATGAACGTAAAATATTTCAGCTGTCCTCCCTCCAGCGCCAGGTTTCTAGTTTCGGAAACGCTTGTGTGTCTCGACGCGCAGTTGAGGCATGACGAAAGCATCGCTAGGTTCATTATTGTATCCCGTTAGCCACATGTCCAAAATAAGCGTATTTATACTTTCAAAAGTATTTTAAGAAGCGCATATCGCACTCCACACTTACTCGCCGAGCAAGAAAGCACCCGAACCGTAGAGGACGCCGCACGTAAGAGTTGTCAGCGGCGCCACCGCTTCATCATCCTGACCGGCTGCTTCTTTTCTCGCTCACCGACACCTTCCTTCTAGCCACCGTAACTCTGCCTTCGATTATTCGGAGCTGTAACTCGCTTGTTTTCGCAGTCATCAAATAGGAGTTAATTTCTAGATCTCAGTATTCGCCATGAAGCGCGAAATTGAACGACACAGATTCGCCATTCCGTAACAAAGAAGGAGCGTGCCAAAATTAAAGTCGCCCAAGAAAAACCAAATTACATGGCGTCAATAGATACACCACAAAATAAAACACTGCTTCCATCGCTCGCTCATACGTGCCCTTAGAGTTAAGGAAAATGACAGCCCAGTTGGGAGGTCAGGGAGCAAACCGAAACTGGAACCTGGCGGGAACGCGAAGGGTTGAAGGGGTCATGAAACGATTTTTCTATTTTCACTAAATACTACTTAGAATCACTCCCTAGCGTTATTAACCGAACAAAGTCGCCTTACATTTTTTTTTTTCTAGGCAATGGCAGTCGCCAAGAAGAATAGAGAAATATGAGCATCGTTCACCCCTCAACTCGGAGCTAAACAAGCGGCCACCTGGCCTGGTGCCTATCCTATGCCGCCAACTTTAATCATAGCCACACGCTGGGGTCGGCAAAGTAGGAGACGCGTGCTGACTTCCAGGCATTGTTAGAGTTCGGCTATCCTGATCACCGCAGTCGTTGGACACAAACCACTACCCGAGTGTCCGCCGAGACATTGGTTGTCGCGAGCCTAAGTCGAGTGTTGAGGCAGTTCTCGTGTCCAATCCATGAGTCGCGTTCGACTGTCGTCAAGCGGGGATGCTTCGGTCCCACAGTTACGTCATCAAGTTTCGCGAAGGCAAGACTGAAACAAATATCGCCCTTTATCCTCGCAATATAACCGCGACAAAAAGAAGCTTCTGAATCGGTGGCAGTCCGTGCGAGTATACTAGGGCCAGACTAGGACCAGTACGCCTCTGCAAAGTCCTGAAAATTTCAACCCGATATTGTTTCATGACCCCTTTAGTATTTGCTTTAGAGGAAGAATGCGCGAGCGCAGGAACCCCCAAGAGAGGAGAATCTGCGCATGCGCCGTTCGGCAACCTCGGCATGACGTCACGCACGAGCCGGGGTGTATACACCTTTGCAACAAACACTCGACCCCAGGGGCAACATACCCTTTTCGAGCCCAGTCACTGGGTTTGAGGCTACACACTTAAAATTTTTACACCCTTATGCGTGTAAATGGCTCGTCCTCTGGCTAACGCCTTTATTCGTGTAAGGGTGTTAGCCGCCGGAGGTGGTGAAAATCGTGTTAACTGCTAACACCCTAAAAACAATATGGCGGCCAGTATGCGACAGGCGATACGAGCCTGGCGAGCCGTACGCGGCTTCTCGCCGGAGCAAGAGCATACGGCTCGCACGCTCGTTTGTTGTCATCTGTAGGCGCAAAAAACTTTCCAAACATCTCTATGTCCAAGCGCCAACACCGCAAATAATACGAGTAAGGCCGAAACCGCTGGAGACTGAACAGCCGAGACTGTCGCCGAAGTCTCGCTCGGCCTGCTCAATGCCGGTCGCATTTTCATCGCATCAGAAGCGCTTATAAAGAAGGGATAGCTTTACAAAACACTGACAGGCTGGCTTTATTGAACAAAACACCCACTTGCCGTGGACAAGTTGACAACAAATCGCTCCGACACCCTCTGTCGACAGCGGCTAGGAGGTATCGCACTCGCGCTCCGTGTGGCTCTCGATTAACTATTGCCTGTGTGCTCACCTCTGTTACGTGCGTTATCCACTCATGAACGTTTGTGCGTGAACAGCGGCATTCAGCACCTAGAACACGCGCTGGGGAAGCCGCCTAACCTCCTTTTGTTGCAATCAGGCAGCATAACACGGCGACACAGCTGCCAGCGGAACCGAACAACTCGGAGCGATCAACACGACGGATGGACTAATGACATCCAGCCCTCTAATAGTTATAGATCACCAACCGCCACACTTTTCAAATTGGGCGGCGACAACCCCCATCTAGCGACGAAAACAAAAAGTGATAAACATTTGAAAAAAGAAAACAGCAGTTTTTTTGCTGCCCACCGCGCGGTTACATTCACTCACGACATCCACATACACACAACACTGTACATACACACGCGCATACAAGCACTGGTCTATAGCACAACACACAACAAATAGTACATACAACCTACTATTACAAACCGACAACTGCCCCGAGCGGTATATATGCCCTCCTATTTCGCGCATCGGTAAGCCCAGTGACCACGCTAGTCTTAATCAAGATATGAAAAGATTACGCCAATTTTATTTTTCAATAATATTTTTTCTGCATTTGTCTTAGGTAGGTACACATATCCCTTAATAACTTCTTACAGCA